CCAACCCCCCCCCCCCCAAATTTTTAATTTTTTGTTTGTTTTTTAACAGGGCCATAGAGGCCGATGTGCGACGGCAGCACGCGCTCGTCCCCGCTTGGCCCTGGGGCGGCCGCGCGGAAACTCGGCCGCCTCCTAGACCGCAGGATCCGCGGCCTGGGGTGTCACGTAGATCCACGCCGGGTCGGAAATGCGTTTATATGCATCCATCCCAATCTACCAGAGTTTCAAGTGTGCACTAAGCAAGAAATTGTGATTAATTTACACTTACTCCATTTATGGTTCCATGTGCACTTGAGGAAACCCTTCAACTGTTCAAGAAGCTGCACTTGAAACCAAACTCCACCGCTTGACCAATCCTGGACCAGCATTGCCTGCTGGAAGAAACGAAAAACAAAAAAAAGCCCCACTCGGAGTGCTGGCAGTATCCGCTGGCACTTCAACTCAAGGTACCTCCGGGACGTACCGGGAGGTTCAAGTGCGATTTCGCCCCAGCAGCGCTTGAGTTTCAAGTATGCACACTTGAGAGCAGGAAAGTGAAAACATTACCGCGGGGGAGGTCATTAGGGAGGGGTGGAACGAAGAATTCCCCGTGAACCCTTGACTCAGAGTTCAAGTGGTGTCGAACGAGGCCCTATGCCCTGAGAAGTCTACAGTCTGTACTACCAGTCTGGAAATTCTTGTTCAGGTGCGTTGAAATGGGAGTCTTTTTTCCTTTGTTGGGGGGAAGGAATGAGATTCTGTTGGCATATTACAATTGCTAGAATTGTAAAAAAAAAAAAAAAAAAAAATTGCGAGAAGCAAAGCCGATAAGGCCACCCTGAGGGGCCTGGTCCCATTAACACAGAGGATTGGATTTAATTCATGAATCTGGACTTGTTTGCGGAAAGATGCAGAAAATTGCAATTGATCTGCTTTTCTGCATTTCTGTGCAAAACACATCCAGATTCAGGAATTTAATCCAATCCTCTTCGGTAATGGGACCTGACCCTACCGTCTTCCCCCGAACATAATGCATGCTAAAAATGAATGTATACAAGCTATATTTCCGGCTAGATACAACTAAAATAAGGTGGCGTTGTGTTTGGGGGAAGATGGTGGTTCCGATGGGGAAAAAAATATAAACTGACTCGACACCCCAACGCCTTCATATTAAAACAAAAACAAACAAACAAACAAAAGGAGACAGCCCGATAAGGTCAGCCTGCCCTTCACTTACAGATGAGGGCGGCAGAGAGGTTCGAACCTCGGTACAAGTCCAACCATCGCCGCGACGACCCGACGACGCGTGATCAGCCAGGCTGGGGGCAGGAGGTAAGCCGGGGTGGAGTTTCTCTTCTCTGTTTTTTTTCCTCTGTTTTTTTTCAAATTGGACCATTTCTAGATTTATGCGTGCCATCCTTGCGCATGGGCATGCGAATCTTCTCTCAGTTCTCTGTATCTTTTCAATCTTACCAGATGTCCCGAAGGACACCGCGGTGGAGTTTATTTAGTTGACTTAGGCGATGACCCCACTGCTCGGCGGTTGGAAAAAATGGTTGGCCGCGGAAAACGGCCAACGCCGTCTGGAAAACCATTTCCAGAAAAATTTGAGGCCCCACCGCCACGGTCTCGCCAGCTTGTGGAAAAGGACTGCCATTCCCGAAATGGAAAAATGGGAAGGTCGCCTCCCTAAATGGAAAGTGTGGTGAACCAAGTGGTCCAGCTCCGCGAACCAGCGGCATAAGTGGACTTGTCCTTGCGGGACGCCGTGGTCGCTCCGCGACTGACATGCCGTGGAACTGTGTGGCACTGTCCCCTGCTGGCATACGATACCCTCAGTGTGAAACTAGCCGTTGAGGAGGCTCTCGACGGCGTTTTCAAATTCATTTTCGATGAAATGCGGTCCCTTATCTGGAAGTGACACCTGCATAGCCGAGAGCGCCGTGGTAATGTGAGCACTTCCGAGGGCATTCGAGAACTGCCTCCATTTGCTCCATATCCGCGGAGGAGAGGTGTGCTTGTGTGGGAGGCGTGTGGCGGCCCGACGTGTGGTGGTTTGCAAACTGCTGGCAATAGAGGAGATGGACAGTCCAGTTCCATCTGCAGGTTCTTCTGAGGAGTGGAAGACATGCTCTTCTTGTTGGTTTTCGCCATAACCCAGTGGGTGCAGAGGCGCAAAGCGGCGGCCATGGCCGTCCTCGAAGCTGTCGCATTCGCCCCATTCCTGTTCAGGGACGCGGCGACGTCGTTGCCGCTCCTTGCAGGCGGGGCGATGCACGGATTCGCTCTCACGGTCTCACCAGTTTGGCGGTGGAGGAGTTGGGAAGACGTATGGAGTGCCGACGACAGATATGGGTCATGGAACGAAGCGGGGGTGTGTGGAGGGATTTGCAGCGAGTTGGGCGTGAACACGACAAGGTGTTTGTCCGATTCTGCAGACTTCTTCGCCCGCTATTCTTTGAAGTGCTGGGTAGAATTGCACCCCATATCCAGCGAGCCCCCACGACCTTCAAGAATCCTATTCCTGCTGGTCTGAGTCAGAAGTTCACTATGGCTCTCATTAGGTGGGCGACCGACGGGTATTACTGGCAGACCTCGCATGGCATGGGCATGGGGCTTGTGAGTGCCTTGCGTTGCAATGACGAAGTCGCAGATGATATCATCAGCGAGTATGGCCATCTCCTTCGGTGGCTGACTGGCCCTCGAATGCAGGAAGTGGAGAACGCTTTCGAGGCGAAAGGGTTCGCCGGTTGCATCGGGGCAATTGATGGCACCCATTTGTACATCGACAAACCAAAGGGTATGCGTGGGGATTGCTACTACCATCACACAGGACAGTTCTCTATCGTGGCGCAGGTAGTTTGTGACCACGAGTGCAGAATCACTAGCGTTTACGTGGGGTGCCCAGGGTCTGTGCATGACTCAAGAGTTTTGCGCATTTCAGAACTGTTCCGTGAGGCCTCGCAAGGGGTAGGTGTCTTCAGCGAGGGAGGTGCTCACCTGCACGACGGCAGACACGTGGGACGCTATGTGCTTGGTGATCAAGGTTACCCTCTCCTGCCATGGATCATGACACCTATCGGGAGGACGGCTACAACAGCTTAGGAACGAACCTATGACAGTTGTCACTCAGCGGTGCGGTCTTGCATCGAGCGGTGCTTCGGCCGACTAAAGACCGTGTGAAGGAATTTCATCCGGCCGCATATCAGCAACATGAAAACCATTTGTAAGGAAGTGATGACAATCTGCATCCTCCACAACCTGATGATCGAGCACAGGGTGGATTTTGACCCCGGAGTGCTCGATAGTAGCAACGACAACGATGGTGATGGCGGTCATCACAGACGTCGTCGTCGACGAAGAGATCGTCGTCGTTTCGTTCGTCACATGCCCGACCTCAACGTTGAGCCCATGGTGGACGATGACCCTACAAACGGCTCCGCGCTGGGGGCATTGGTTCGCAGGAGTCTGATCGCACACGTGGACCACCACGTGGCGGTTCATGGTGCGCCGCCGCCATGTCCATGGTGATAGTTGACGACGTGGATGACATAGCACCTTGGATTTTGGGATAGCGGCAGGGAGTGGCAGCAGGAGTGGGTCTGGGGTCTGGTCAGATTGGTAGTTCGTAGGGTTCCGGGGTTGTGTGCGAGATTGTCATAATTTCAGTGATGGACAAAGACATTTTCACGTGCATTCTCTCTCAGAGTCTCTCTCTCTATCTCTCAATATAAATACATATAAATCTATATTCAAATATATAGACGTATACAAGAATGAAAACATATAATATGTGTTTCTGTGTACACCCATGCAAAAAACAGGCACAAGGATCGCACAAAAAGAGAAATTCAAGATTCAAATGGTGTGACACAAGGATCGCTCAAGAAGAGAAAAAGAAATGAAATGGACGAGGGAGATGGGAGACAAGATTCAAAATTCAAATCCATTTAAAGGACCTCATTCAAAAAAGTGGCACATGTGCAGCATTCATTAACATAACCTCCATCACTACGATTGACATCGGCGACAACTTGCATGTCACCGTCCCGAATGCGATGCACACTCTGCACGGACGCTGTCCATGGACTCCATACCGGAATGGACCGCCGATGATGATGTCGGCGGTGGTTAGGACGTGGATGATGATGGTGTCGACGAAGATGATGAAGACGAGTTCGATGACGGCGGCGATGATGATGGTGATGACGAAGTATCGTCATCATCATCATCATCATCGCCGCTGTCATATAACTCGTCATCATCATCTTCGTCGACACCATCATCATCCACGTCCTAACCACCGCTGACATCATCATTGGCGGTTGATTACGCTACGGACTCGCCCGATGAATCCCACTACTTACATGACACATCCCCAAAAAAAAGACACATGTCATCCCCAACGAAATTCAAAATTGTAACAGACGACACGGCGAAATCAACTGTCTGCCCGTTTGCTGGGCCACAACATCGAAACAAGCATTGATTGCTTCCTTAAAAGGAAGGATTGACCTGCTTCGGCACTCTACACTCATTGTACCTCGAACCTTCTTTCCCAAACACTATGGCGAAACATCGACTGTTTAACCTATGCCGGAACCGTAACATACGAAACGACCCCAACGACAGCGAAAAAAAAACAGCGATCGAATGTCGCCTCACATCGTCACTCATCACCGGCGGTTAACGTCCGTGGCGATCACCATTTACGGACACGAAGGACATCCTCAGGTCCCCATATATCCACCAGCCCGTGCAAGTACCCCCTGCCCTCCAAAGGGGGGTCGAAGATGGTGTCGTACCAAGGCGTGTCGTCCATGCGGTTCGCGAACTCATCGGCGATGGCGAACACAAGGTACTTGATGGTGTCCCCCACCGCGTCCCGATCGGGACCTTCCCATCTGTTCGGCACCAGCGGATGCCTCTTCGTCACGAACAGTAGGACGCGGCTCAAAGCACCATCATCGACATACCCCAATCCAGCCGTGATGTCCATCGCATAGACATCGTTGACGCGCACTTCATAGAAACGGGTGTCCTGACGTGTGACACCGTGATGTCCATCGCATGGACATCGTTGACGCGCACTTCATAGAAACGGGTGTCGTGACGTGTGACACTATAACAAAAAACCATGTCATGCCTAAGACGCCCGTTGCATTTGTCTGTGAGCTCCGCGATGATCACGTCACGGCCGCAGACCCACTTCCAGACTACAACAACGGAAGCCATCCTCTCTCTCTCTCTCTCTCTCTCTCTCTCTCTCTCTCTCTCTCTCTCTCTCTCTCTCTCTCTC